GAGTGGATCCCATATATCAAGTGGTATGGGAGTGCTCCAGCGTGAACATGCTGAGGGCATTTGGTGCATGTAGTGTTCATGTGCCTAAGGAGAAAAGAGGGAAGTTGGAGGCTTCTGGAAGATGGGGTGTGCACTTGGGGATTGCAAAGGATCACAAGGGATGGCTGCTATGGGACTTGACCACCCAGAAGTGACAGTGTCAAGGGATGTGAAGTTTCTTGAGTCCCTGTACTACAAGGAATGGAAGCAGCAGCAACAGAAGCTTCCATCTACACCGCTCATTGTGGAGGCAGATGAGGTGCAGCAGCCTTCAAGACAGGTGGAGGTTGCAGTGTCAGAGGAGAATGTCTGGGGTGACTGAGGAAGGGGGAGCAGCTGAAGTAGAGGCAGCAGCAGCAGCAGCATGAGTCTCCACCTCGAGTTCCACACCCGCCTGAGCGTCCTAGGAGGGATGTGCGCCCTCGTGAGGCTGACCTATGGGGGAAGAGGCAAGCCGAATGTGGTGCAGGCTGGGAGTGTGGGTTGAGCAGATTGAGGAAGATGAGATCGCTCACTGCTACTGGGCACCAATCCCTGAGCCCAAGACTCGAGAAGAGGCCTTGAATGGACCAAATGGGGAGAAGTGGAAGGCGAGTGAGGATGAGGAGTTCGGGTCCCTAATTGAGAACGAGACATGGGACCTGTGTGACTTGCCTCCTGGAAAGAAGGCAATCACTTCCAAGATGATCTACAGGCACAAGTATGGACCTGAAGGGGAGCTGACCCGCTACAAGTCTAGGCTTGTGGCACGGGGGTTTCAGCAGACAAAGGGGGAAGGACTATGATGAGGTGTTTGCTCCTGTGGGGAAAGGAACAACACTGAGGGTGCTGTTGGCGATAGCTGCACTCCTGGGATGGAAGATTCGGCAGATGGATATTGTGACTGCCTTTCTGAATGGGATCATTATGGAGGAGGTGTACATGAAGCAGCCAGAGGGGCTGGATGATGGGAGCGGCAGGGTCTGCAGGCTGAAGAAGGCAATCTATGGCCTTAAGCAGGCGCCTCGTGCATGGTATCACAAGTTGGAGGAGGCGCTGTTGGCTGGGGGTTTCAAGAAGAGTGAGTGTGACCCCAGCCTGTTCCTGCTGCAGGAGAAGGATGAAATCCTCATGCTCTTGGTGTATGTGGATGATATCCTTCTCTTTTCTGCATCCACTGCTTTGCTGGACAGCGCAGAGCAGATGCTGGAGATGCAGTTCAAGTGCTCCAAGATGGGTGAGGTGAAGTACTACTTGGGGATGCACGTGGAGAGAGATGTGGAAAGGGTGTGCTGAGGTTGCACCAGAGGAAGTACTGTGAGGGGCTGGCTGAGAAGTATGGGCTGCAAGATGGGGGAAAGCCAGCAACACCACTACCTTCAGGGTTTACTGTGGAGCCATGTGCTGATGAGGAGGTAGTGGGTGAGAGTGACAGGAAGCTGTTTCATTCGATGGTTGGGTCGCTGAATTATGCTGCAAATCATACACGGCCTGACATTGCATTTCTACATCACGATTGGCTAGTGTGGTCTCACGCCCTAGTCATGAGCAGCTGGAAGCGGCCAAGAGGTTGGTCCGCTATGTGAGTGCTACGGCATCAGTGGGATTGGAGTACAGTGGAGTGAGGCAGCGGTTGCAGAGAGGTGCTGCAGATGTGAAGAGTGGAAAGATGCTCTTGAGTTGCTATACTGACGCTAGCTTCAACTCAGTGAAAGCGGATGGCACCAGCATTGGGGGTTATGTGTGCTTGCTAGGAGGTGGTGCTGTGAGCTGGCGCAGCAAGAAGCAGAATGAGGTGGGATTGTCCTCATGTGAGACTGAGTACATGGCCTTACACCATGGGGCCAAGGAAGTAGTGTGGCTAAGGCGTTTGTTGGAGGAGTTGGGAGTTGGTCAGGAGAAGCCGACAGTTGTGTTTTGTGACAATGAGTCCGCTGTGAAGCTCGCCAAGAATGCTTGTCTGCATGGGCTGACAAAACACATAAGGCCTAAGTGGCATTGGGTGAGGAGACTCCTTGATAAGGAGGTGCGGCTGGAGATAGTGAAGACCCATCAGCAGGCAGCAGATATTTTCACCAAGCGTCTGGCGGAGGCGGATCATTGGAAGGGCATGAAGCTTGCTGGGATGAGTGTGCATTGAGTATGCATGCTTGAGATGTTGGTATGGTGGATGATGGTTGGCAGCCAGAGGGGGAGATTGTTGTGTGATGTCATCATATGCTATCACATTCTGTCTGCCTCCCATCCCATATTTTTTCAACTTGCATGTGTGGTTTGAACGTGTGCAAGAATTTGTGTGTGATGTGTTCTGGAGTTTGGGAATGTGTTTTGTGTTATTTTGTTTGAGCAGGTTTTTTGTGATGATAGATCTTGAGAAGATCTTTCCGACGCAACGAGAATCCCTTCAATCGGAGCAAGAACGCGAAAGCTATGAAGATTCAAAGTTCATGAGCTTGCGTTACAATTGCGGCGGTTACAAAGTGAAGTTGTGGGGTGACTCTATATGGAGTTGGGACCTTTGGGGGTTTGGGAAATTTGTCACTCTACTGTAACAGCTGCAAATTGGTTGGGAACAACCAAGCTAGGTTGGCAAGGGTGGCCAACTTGGATGGATTGGTTGGGAAGGGACAAAGGTCAAAGTTGAGGTTCCTATAGGGAGGGAATCTTTGTGCTTATGGGGTTTCCTTGGTTGGGGACTCTCTTGGGACCTTCCCTCTCGTCCCTCTCTTTCTATCCCAACCTTTCTCTTGCTCCTCAAATTCCTTGTGAGATTCTTGAACTTTTATTGAACTCTTGAGATTGGGTTAAGTTCTCCTCCTACAGCTTACCCCCTAGTGCGTCGAAAGCCATAGCGTCGCGAATACTTCATCAATCAACGTGATTCAAATTGGGAACGGTAGCTGAGATCAAGAGCTACAACATATCCAAGTTTCGCGACATTCCAACGGCTAGTGTTTTGTCGACGTCGTTTCTTGTGAAGACGACTTTTCTGTCCAGAATTTCGGATTTATATTTTGAGTAATTCTAGCTCCTAAGTTCACCTAGACTCCGTCCTTAATTCTAACAAGAGCAGCGCGCACCATCACTCTCTTACAGTCACACTTGGTGCGCCAGGTCCTTCAGAGGTTCGGCCTTCAGTTCTCTTCCGCATAGCCCACCCCTCTGCCAGTAGACCATAGACTCTCTGCCCCAGTCCCTTAGGAGGCTGTAGAGCCTAGTGGTCTCTACGCAGAGCTGGTGGGTTGCCTCATGTACCTGATAACTTGCACTCCTCCGGATCTGGCATACCCTCTCAGCATCATGGCTCTCTTTGTAGCCCCAGGCAGACACCGACCACAGCACTGGTCGGCAGCTAAGAGGGTTTTGTGCTTTCTAGCAAGTACATCGGGCATGGGGCTAGTGCTAGGAGGACGGAGACCAGTGGTCCTTATCGGGCACACAGACGCTTCTTGGGCAGATGACGCCGAGACTTTCAGGTCCTCACAGGGCTACTCCTTTAGCCTTGGTGCAGGTGCCATCTTGTGGAGGTCCACCCGTTCTTCGTCTGTTGCCCAGTCTAGCTGTGAGGCTAAGATCTACGCAGGTGCCATGGCGGCACTAGAGCTCCGCTGGCTGACGTTCTTGCTCACCGACTTGGGTGAGCGGCCTAGCTCTGCCCCGGTTCTGTACGCTGACAACAGGGCAATGATCCTCCTTTGTTAGGAGCCACGACTTGAGGGCAGAGCGAAGCACATCCAGCTGCGGTACTTCCTCCTACGCGAGCTGCAACAGCGTTGCCAGGCTCGTGTAGTACACTTGGCCTCAGGTGGCAACAGAGCTGATATCTTTACTAAGGCGCTTGTGCCTAAAGATCATCAGCACCACTGTGTACAGCTAGGTCTCGTTCCTGTAGCTTCTCACTTGCTAGGACCTTGATTGTGTAGAGACCTTTATATATATTACCTTGACTGGACTTGTGGCCTCTTCTCTGTGGTTGGACTAGTACTGCCACCCTGGACTAGTAGTGCCACCTTGAGCTATTTCTCTCCCATTGGGCACTGCCCCTATCTAGTCTAGGGGGTGTGTCAAACATATATTGTATGTTTTTGTAGACTATATAGGGTTGTGTCTTAGAGAGTACAACCCATTATGTTATATTCCCTTGTATGCCTTGTTCTAGTCATTCTTCCACTTGAACACTGTTGTGATACAATCGTACATTTCTGTAAGTAGTTCCGATAGATATTGTCCAGTTACACTGTAGTTAGCATCCGTAGAATGACGTCAGCAAATAGCGTTCGTCTGGATGGTTACGTGAGTAGGCCGTTTCAATCCCACGAATAGTCGCGCTCTTTTCAGTAGTGATTACAACACATAGCGCAAATAGTTTTGAACAGGTACATTACCGAACAGGTACTTCTAGCAGATATAAGAGTAGCTTGTATGACTTCAATTATTAATTTGTTGAGTAAATTCTGGTCAACACTTACAAGTTCTAAGACTTCCGCTGACTTACCAGTCTACCATTCCATCAAAGATCCTTGTTCAAGTCTTGAACACTGATTCTGGTTACATCTTGTTAATACTGGCTGTTACTAGAGGTACTTCCAGTATTACTTTCTACTTCAAGTACTTGTGTCTACAGATTCTATACTTAGTCCCTTGCACCACTCGTCGATTTCTTTCATGGTATGAGAGTTGTCTGGAATTAAGACTATCGTCAACTCTACAAATTACGGGACCATCATCGGCTCCAACATCTGGTTCTTCAACACTGGACCTACGAGTGTTATAAATCCTACAGTCTTCACAGGCCAAGCAGGTGACTCTGCAGCTGGAAAATTTCCACCTGCTTATTCTTCAATCGGGATGCCTCAACAGCAGCAAGTTTTGCCTACTGTGCATCCACCGGGGACTTCGTCCTCTGCACCTGCAACATCACAGGTGTCAACTCAAATCGTCCTCGTTTTACAGAAAATCGATTACAAGTATTGGGACTCGCAGTCGCACTGCAGTCAAACAGTAGTAAGATTCTGGAGCCGAAAATAGTTCGCCAAGCTTTGACAAGTCAACACAGGGAAAAATGGCGAGAAGCCATGGACCGAGAGTTAGCAGCTCTGGAAAAGAGAGGTACCTGGGATCTAATCCCGCTGAAGGACACAAAGGGGAGTAAGGTTCTTACCGGAAAATGGGTTTTTCGCATGAAGACATACGCCGATGGTTCCTTTGAAAATTTCAAGGCGCGATGGACCAACGCGGCTTCGAGCAGACTTTTGGACTCGACTACGAGCTTACTTTCGCTCCCTTCGGCAGACACACTAGTTTCCGTATCCTCTTCTGTATCGCGGCCTACGGGAACTTCAGACTTCGCCAAATCAACGTCGCTAATGCATTTCTATATGCATCTGTCGATGCATTAACTCTGGTTGAGTACCCGCATTCTTACGAAACTAACCCTCCAAGAGTCTGCCGTCTCATAAAGTCTCTCTACGACATTAAACAGGCTCCACGACTATGGCAGCAGTATCTACATGCTCAATTACTATCTGTCGGATTTCGTTAGTTACCGCAAGACCAAGGAATGTACCTACTTACCGACGGTCTTGACTACATCCTACTCGTTGCTTATGTCGACGACTTACTCTGCATCAGTTTCACTGATTCTCTCGCTATTGTCTTCGAACAGAAACTTCAACAACATCTACAGATCACTAACACCCCTACAGTCACACAGTTAACATCCACCAAACAGCAACTGTTATTGATCTCACAGCTTCCAAGTACGCAGCTACACTAGTCGCACGCTTTAATCTCACACCTTCAACTGTAACTACACCTTACCGATCTCTACCGACGGACTACAAAACTGATACCACTCCACTCGATAACACTGAACTACATCTTTATCAGCAGTAGCTGGGTTGTCTTCTATTCGCTGCTGTAATATGTCATCCAGATCTCGCCTATGCCACTAGCCAGCTCGCGCAATTTCTGCGTCGACCTGAGGGGGAGAATCGGCTAGATCTTCTTCTCGCTCTACAGTATTTCGTTTCGACACCTGAAGTCGGACTTACCTAGCAAGTCACTACTACAAAAACTCTATATCTTAACATATACGCGATGGTGATCATGCAGCAGATACTTCTTATCATCGATCTCGCACTGGCTTCATCTATCGTCTCGAACCTATAGGGACTATCTCCTGTAATTCTACAAAGCAATAGCTCGTTGCTCTATCATCTACTGAAGCCAAGTTCATAGCTGCTTGCACAGCTAATAGCGAAGGTCTCTATCTACAAGAGCTACTGGAGGAAGCAAAATTGACGACAAGTACACAGTTCACCCTGCAGTGCGACAACCAAAGTGCAATCAGAATTGTGCACCAACCCGGTTTCGCCAACAGGACGAAACACATTTTGTTACGATACTTCCTCATCAAAGATAAAGTTGAGAAGGGGAGAATGCAGTTGGTCTATTGCTCGACCAATGAAATGGCTGCAGATTTCCTTACCAAGAAGCTGACACGTCAGAAGTTGCAGTACTGCAACGAACTCTGCGGAATTCTCAAGAAGTGACAGTATCGGACAGCATTTTTGTAAGTAGTTCTAATAGATATTGTCGAGTTAGAATGTAGTTAGCATCCGTAGAATGACGTCAGCAAATAGCGCTCATCTGTATGGTTACGTCAGTAGGCCGTTTCAGTCACGCAAACAGTCGCACACTTTTCAGTATTCGCTCATGTTGTTAATATTGGCTGTTACCGGAGGTACTTCCAGTATTACTTTCTACTTCAAGTACTTGTGTCTGCAGATTCTATACTTAGTCTCCTACACCACTCGTCAATTTCTTTCAACTACAAGGGCGCTTAAGAAATCTTTCAATACCAAGTTGCGGTCTCGGTTTTCTATTATGCATCTATCTTGTGGTAACCCTATTTCTAACCCCTGGGTCTAGACCCTTTGGACTATTTCTCAATGGTATGCGATAGGTGTCAACAAACATATTTAAATATATATATATATCTACTTAGATTATTTATGTGTGTATAACCTAGCTAGGTCAGCAATTAGGGAGGATGTCACATGTGTACTTGTATCCCCCCGCTCTCCCTTCCTAGTAGATTTTCTCACGCTATTCTGACATGGCATCTAGAGCTGGGTTTATGATCCCCCCCACGCTTCCGCCCTAGCACACTCTCTAGCCTAGCGCCCTCCGCCCATACTCACGCCTCGTAGCTAGTCGTCATCCCCCCCGCTAGGCCCTCACCGGTCCCTCCCTCACACCGCCCACTTGCGCCTGTCGCCGCCCTCCCTGGCCAGTCGCGACCCCGTAGCTAGTCCCCCCCTTGCTCGCCTCATATCCAGCACCAACCAGCTCTCCAGTGCCAACCAGCACCAGCGCCAGCCCGCCAGCGCCAGCCAACGCCAGCCAGCTCGCCAGCGCCAACCAGCGCCAGCACCAGCCAGCCAGCGCCAGCTACCGCCGCCAGCACCAGCAGCCTGCTCCCAGCCGCCAGCGCTAGCTGTGCTAGCTGCCCGCCGACAGCCCCCAGCGCCAGCAGTGCTAATCACCTACAGCCAGCGCCAGCAGCCAGCGCCAGCAGTCAGCACCAGCCGCCAGCGCCAGCAGCGCTAGCCACCTGCCACCAGCACCAGCTGCCGCTGCCAGCAGCACCAGCTGCCGCCGCCAGCAGCGCTACCCGCACACCGCCAGTGCTAGCCGCCAGCCCCAGCCGCCAGCGAGCCACCACCAGCTCATACAGTTGCTTGCTGCTGCCAGCTTGCCGCCGCCAGCTTGCCGCTGCCAACTCACCGCTGCCTGCCGTCTCCAGCCTCCACTGCCCACTGCTGCTTCCCACCGCAGCTGCTGCCCGCCACTGCCCTCCAGCTGCCTGCTCACCGCCAGCTAGCTGCAGCGAGCTGGCTGGCCGCCAACTAGCCGCTAGCAGCGTCTGCCCGCTAGCCGCCAGCAGAGCTGGCCAGCTCGCCCCCAGCAGCGTCGGCCGGCTCGCCGCCGGCAGCGCTCGCAAGCTAGCCACCAGCAGTGCCTGCCAGCCCACCGCCAGCAGCATCTGCCGGCTCGCCACCAGCAGCATCAGCCAGCTCACTGCCAGCAGCGCCTGCCCGCCCGCCCCCTGCAGTGCCTGCCAGCTAGCCGCCAGCAGCGCCTGGCAGCTCACCACCAGCAGCGCCTGCCAGCTCACCAGCTAGCCGACTCGCCAGCTCGCTAGCCTCTTCGCTCGTTCACTCGCTCGCCAGCTCACCATCAACACGCCACCTCACTGCCGGCAGCTGCTAGCTCGCCAGCTCGCTGCCAGCTTGCCAGCTCGTTCCCAGCTTGCAGCCTCTTGCTACCAGCTCGCCGCCAGCTAGCCGCCACTGCCACCTTACTGTCACTCACTACTGCTGCCATCAGCCTGCCGCTAACCGCCACTGCTGCAAACTCCGTTAGTGCTCCTGTGGGCCCTAGCGCCTCCCACTATTCTCCTCCTTGTTTCTAGTGTTCCTCGATGCCGCTCCGATTGGCATGGTTGCCTTGGTGCTGTCAATCCCTCGGAAAGACGCCGGATAGTTCCTTTCACTCTCTGGCTTCTCGCTCACCGCCTACAGCTGGTGAGCCCGCACGTAAACTGCACGCTCTTGGAGGACCACATCATTTCGCTCCTTGGCTTCTGGCTCTACGGCCTAGAGGTACGCTTCCAAGCTGCTTGCCCCTCGAAGCGGCAAAAGTCGCAGTAGCAGCCGCAGTGGGGTCTTTGGGGTATTGGGCAGGGTGGAGGCCCTGGAGGTGAGTCCCCAGGGCGGTCACTGCCTTGGAGCCAGTGTGGTTTCTTTGGAGGACCGGGGGCTTGGGTTTCTAGGTCCCACTATTGTGTCTAGTCTAGGAGGCTCTACTACTTATCCCCTAAGCTCCTCCCCTACCCCTCCTACAGCGGCCCTCTCCTTCATACTCG